TTGATCCGAGAATGCAATCATTATAAGGTCAAAATTGAATAGACTGAGCACGAATTCAAACTTATTGGTCTAATAGTACTGTCTAGACAATAAAAGTCCACAAATTACCTAATTGACACCACCGAGTAAAATTTAAGGACCCAAAAGTAACAAAAAAGAGCGTGTTTAACTATTAGTAGGAATTGAAACTGCAGCGGTTATTGTCAATCTGTGGATATACCGTGAAGTTACAAATGTTGTACCTGTAAACTAATTTCTTACCTAAAAAATAATAGACGTGACCGACCTATGAAAACTAAACGGTCCCTCGTCTATAATATCAAATAATTCATTTTTGTTATCAACCGCTATTAAATTAATTATTTTGGGCCGGAGGCCCGTAGCTCCATGACTGGGCCAGCATTTATGGGCTTCAACAATGGATGCATTTTGGGCCGCTCGTAATTCCTTGGAGAAGTTGGGCTTTTACCCAAACTTCAAAATATAGATTTTTTTTTCATTTTAATTATTTTTTATTTTCGTAAATATCAGCTTATGCCAACATTATTTTTATAACTTACATCGTTCTTAACGAGAGAACTCAAAACGGATAAGGGCCTATTTATTGAGGATCGTTCAGAGTAGTCTCGCATTGGCTAATTAAATAAATGATCATGGGTTTATAAATATAGAACACGATCTCTATTGATATGAGCAACGAAATTAGAGGAGTCAAACCTCGATTAAGTTAGATTGTTTGAGGGCTCTATAGGCCGCACGGGCACGACGTTAAGTATTTTTTTAATAAAATATTAAGGATTTTCATAAAAAAACTAACTATTTTGGATTTGTGACTAATTACAAAGTTTAATAATATTTTTATTAATTTAGCGGTGTAATAATAAAAATAAAAAAATTAAAAAAAATATTTATTTGGATATTGAATAATGGGCTAGCGTGTAAAATTATAGAAGTGATTATTTCAAGGTGATCGATATCTCTTGTATTGTCCACTTTGTCAATATTTAGATATTCTATTATTGAATTTCAATAATACACTTTTTCAATTCTTCATCCCATAAACAAATAACGACAAAACGGTCACTTTTAATAATTTAAAAAATTTAATTATAAAAAAAAAAAATATATATATATATATATATATTTTAAAATTGATTTAGATAATTGTAATGGATTAGTAATGATTAGTTATATATCCATTTTTATTTATTTAGGTAAGGTATCAATTTTTGGATTGTTTTCTTATATCATTAGGGAAACCTAATTTTCAATTTTAATCCAAGAATCATTTATGAATTTCACACACAATAGTTAAAGTTAACCGTCCCCATTTGTCTCCTTAATTTTTGCTTTTGTGACTTGGTGAGGAGGGATTCGAACCCCCGACACCGTGCTTCATAGCCACGTGCTCTAATCCTCTGAGCTACAGGCCCCACCCCGTCTCCACTAGATCAGTTCCGAGGGGTACCCTGAAAAAAGGAACATTTCCTCTCCCCAGCCATTTGCCATGAAAATCCACATTTTTTTTCAATAGAAAAAGAAAGTAAAGTTTTTCGGTTTTTAGTTTTAGATGTTGTGTGTTGTAAGATACTATCAATCGAAGAGATAGAGCCAATCCAATATTTTGTATCGTTTTGGCAGCATGGCCGAGCGGTAAGGCGGGGGACTGCAAATCCCTTTTTCCCCAGTTCAAATCCGGGTGTCACCTCATCAACAAATAAAAGAATGGAAAAAAAAATGTTATACATCCTTGCGTCTAGGTTTCGTTTCAAGAATTTAGTAGTTAGTAGAGTAATGAAAAATAATCGTTAAATCTTGATATGATAACCCTTCGACTCCGAATGTGGTGTCTACTGATTGGGTCTTGAATTAGGGAATCGAATTTCATTTTGAGTTACGGAAATGATGAAACTACTTTATATATGGACTCATGAAAGTATCTGAGTATTCGAGCATTCAATCACTATTATATTGAATGGATAATTGGCTTTTTTTTATTTGAATCTTAAAAAAAGGAACTTCTTTCTTTTCGATAAGCTCTAGCATGTAATAGGTCATCTCATCTCCCGATTGTCTCAGATGGACTGTGAAATGAAAAATTGACATGAGAGCGACCTAAAATTATACAGAAGTAATTGAGAAATATGAGATAACAACACTGTTGATGGCATATAACTCGAGTTGAAAGATTTAACAACGAGTCGTATTGCTCTATAGTATATTATGAGACAAATTGTCTTTGGCCAATAAATCTCAAAAGAGGCTCGGGGCCACGTACAACATGTCCTGAATAAACATATCAGTGGGAACTGACACGCTTGTTTGACTTAAATTTCAAATCACAATGTTTCATCACGTCCACATTTCACCTAATGTTTTAACTAGCTTTCTCATTTTTCAAAGTAGTTTTGACTTTTTCATAAAGTCAAGATTTTGGAAAGTTGATATCCAGCAATTCAATTGATGACTATCGATAGCTTATTTCCTTGACACCAAGCAA